TTCAGATGGCTTCCACATCCTAAAGGGTTCCCAATGTTGCCAAATAGGCCACTAGCTAGGAATCCAGTATTCAAACACATGAGCCTGCAGGGGACATTTGACCACAAGCCACATCAGTGGCCACAGTTCTGTCTACCATAGAATGCAAATATTTACCTCTAGTTATGTTTTTTTTAACTTTAAACTCTTATCTGCATTTCCTCTTTGACATTATTTTCTAGGTATTTTGTAAGCACTCATTAGCTTTGTCATGCAGCAAACCTCACCACAATTACTCATCACTGCCTACACATCTGTGGGTGAGCCGACCCCGACTGGCTAGTCCGATGACCTTCTAGACTTGCTATGCTGCCATGCTTGCAGGTCAGCTGAGCTTTGTCTAATACAGCCTGGGGTTTTGTGGGGCCAGCTCTGGCTCATGTGTCTAGGTTGGGCTTGTGTTTACGAAAAATGACAGAAATAAAGACGTTAATGTGGAAACATATGAAGCCTCTTCTGGCTTAAACTTAGAGCAAGGAAGTTGTCTCTTATTTATTCTGTCAGCGAAAATTAGTCACATTGTCAAATCATCAGACTGGGGAATACATTCTGTTCCTTGGGGACCTGAATTGAGACAAGAGGTAAGAGCACTGAAACGGTCGGGCACTGAGCACTTCCCTTTGACTACCTGCTTCTCCAGAGAACTGTCTCACATTTTTTTTTCTCCAGCTCTTAGTTAATGATACACCATTCTTTCCACATCTGGTTCCTCAAGCCTGAATCAAAAGTATTCTAGACTGTTCTTTCTATTCCCCATCTTCTGTATTTACCCTTGTACACATTTTTCTGTTCTATCATCTTTTCAGCCTTATCATTGTTTATTCAGCCTTGGCCACCCTTCTTGAGAAGAAAGACAGGGAACATCCTTTTGTTTCCCACTCCATTTCTTCAGCTCTGTGTCTTCTCTTGCAGCGGAGATACTGTAAACTTGAAATTCAAATGTCATTCTTGCTCACTGGTTTCTCTAAAGCAGGCTCATTGTGATCCGGAGTTTCCAACTCTGCCTCCCAGCTTCCTGCTTTCTGTATTACCCCTTGAGGTCTAGAGTCGCAAACTGTGGCCAGTGGGGCAGATCTGGTTTACTATCCATTTTTGTATAGTTTATGAGTCTAAAAGGGATTTTTGTTTTATTTTAACTTGTGTATGATCATGTTTGCATGTGTGCAGGTCAGAGATGGCCATCAGGTGTCATTCCTCAGGAGGCATTCATCTTGTTTTTTAGACAGAATGTCTCACTGGGGCTTCATTAGAGTGAACTCATTAGACTAAGCTGGCTAGCCAGTGAGCTCCAGGGATCTTCCAGTCCCTGCCTCTTCAGCACTGGGACTAGGAGAGCATGCATCACATCTGGCTTTTGAATGTGTGTTCTGGGGACTGAGCTCATGTCCCCATGCTTGTGTGTGTGAAAGGCACTTTACTAATTTCTCCCCATTCTAATCTTTATATATTTCATTATTTGTGCCACATAAGAATTATACAGTTCAAATCCAGTGTCTACAAATAAAGTTTTATTGGAATGTAGCTGTGCTTATCCATTTATGGATTACCTACAGCAGCTTTTGCAATAGCAGTTGAGTCACGGCAATGGAGTCTACATGACTCACAAAACTAAAGCATTCACTTTCTGATCCTTTATAGAAAAAAAACCATCAACTGTCATCCAGTAGAGTTTATAGTAGCCCCCTTTATGTACCACTTTATTCAGTGGTTCAATACTTTTTATTTTGTTTCTTTGCTAACCTTTTTTTTTTCTTTAATGGTGACTTTCTTTTTTTTTGGTTTTTTGAGACAGGGTTTCTCTGTGGCTTTGGAGACTGTCCTGGAACTCACTCTGTAGACCAGGCTGGCCTCGAACTCACAGAGATCCGCCTGCCTCTGCCTCCCAAGTGCTGGGATTAAAGGCGTGCGCCAACAACACCCGGCTTAATGGTGACTTTCTTAAGGTAAATTCCATATATAGCACAATTCAGATGTTTAAAATGAATAGCTCAGTAGTTTTTTGTACAAACATTACCACAGTATTATATTTAGAGTATTTTCATTATTCTCCCAGATATCCTCTCTTTAATGTCCATCTCCCTAATACCCCCTTCTCCATCCCTAGATGACTGCTAAGTCTGCTTTTAATTCTAATTAACACTCCCCTTTGTGATATTTTGTTTAAATGGAATAATTTGTGTTGCTTTGTGACTTTTTTCTCACTATATAATAAAGAAACTCCATAGTAGTGCATCTGTATAATGTTTTTAAGGTTAATTCATGTTGTAGCGTGAGTCAATTACTTGGTTCCTTTTGTTCTTGATTAATATTCTATTATAGTCTCTCCAACATGTAGACAAGGGCTTTCTGAAAAGGACCAGCAACATAGGAAATCCATCCAAGAATTGACGAATGGAGTTTCATGAAATTAAAAAGTTTCTGTATACATTGGAAAGGGGAGAAAGTCACAAAGTAAAAAGACAGCTTATAGAATAGGACAAAAATCTTTTTCAGCTGTGTATCAGACAAAGAAATCGTATTTAGAATCTTAAAGAACTCAAAAGAATAAAACAAAAAAACCATATAGTCAATAAATGGGCTAATGAATTGAGCAGACAGTTTTCAGAAGAAGTATATATGACAAAATGTTCAGCATTCTTAGCTATCAGAGAAGTTCAAATTAAAACTGCATTGAGGGCTAGCAAGATAGCTCAGTGGGTAAAGGTATGTACATGGAGTCTGACAACTAGACTTCCTTGAATCCACTTGGTAGAAAGACCCAACTCCACAGCTAAAACCCAAATTGAACTCCTAGAACCCAGTTGCAAAGAGGAGTGATGAGCAAAGGAATCAAGGTCAGGCTGGGGAAACCCGCAGAGACAGCTGACCTAAACAAGGGGGAATGCATGGACCCCAGACTGATGACTGAGAGGCCAGCATGGGACTGATCCAGACACCCCTTCTCCCCCGAATCTTGGTGTCAGAGAAGAGGCCTCGGCAGTCTATGGGACCTTGGAGAGTAGAGCAGTATTTATTCCTGGCATACAAATAGATTCTGGGAGCCCAATCCACATGGAGGGACGCTCTCTCAGCCTGGACACATGGGGTTGGACCTAGGCCCTGCCCGGGATGATATGACAGACTCTGAAAATCCCTCATGGAAGTCCTTAGCCTCCCTGGGGAGTGGAGGGAGGATGGAGTGGGGTGGGGGGTTGAGAGGATTGGGGGGCCGGGGGAGGAGGGGAGGGAGAGGGAACTGAGAGTAACGTGTAAAAAGATTTTTTTAAAAAGGAGAGAAAAAAAAAAACCCAAAACTTCTCTTCCATAGACATACTTCTACATTTTATAAAGATGAAAACAGTTGAAAGTATTTGTGTAGAATTACTTGGGGGTTCTTTATTTCTACTGATCTATGAATTTATGCCTTTGTCATTATTATAATCTGTAGAGAAATTCTGTGACTATATGATAAGTCTTGAAATTGGTTGTGATGAGTTTTAGAATAATATTATTTCTCTATAAAAAAAAGACTCAACTACCAAAAGCTGTTCTCTGGCCTCCATATATGTGGCATGCATACACACACACACACACACACACACACACACACACACACACACACACACACCATATAATAAAAAATTGAAAATTTCTTTGAGAGTCTTATTTTACTCCAGTCAGAATGGCCACCACCAAGAAAACAAATGACAGCAATGCTGGAGGGCTATAGGAAAAGGGAGACAAATATAGATACTATAGAAGTCAGAGTGTAGATTCCTCAAAAAAACTGAAAATTAAACTACCATATGACTCAGCTATACTGCTCCTGATATTTACCCAAAGGAATCTTAAATCAACATAGTAGATTGGTGCACTAATTCAGCATAGCTAAGGTGTAGCATCAGCCAACTTGTCTGTCAACAGATGAATTGATAAAACAAAATGTGGTACATATCCACAATGGAATTTTTTTCAGTGATAAAAAAGGTATCCTGACATCTGTAAAAAAAATGTGTTCACTTTTTAAAGAAATAAAGATACAACCATTGTGTTAAAATTAAAATGTGATCATTGTGATAAAGAGAAGATAATGGGACGTGAATGACATGAAAACAGAAGGGAAGACTGCAGGGAGGAATGGGGACCACCAGCAAAGGGGCAAAGAGGAGTAACAGAGCAGTATAGGCAGGTGATGGCTAGATAGAAAATATAATGACATATCTATGAAAATGGCGTCGAAATCATCACTTTGTATGCTAACTTTAGAAATGAATACAAGTATTCCATCATAGATGATGTCATATTTTATGCTTTCATTCAGCAGATGAGGCGCTGAGTTGCTCTTCCTTTGGGGCTGTTATGAATAATGCCGCTAGGAATATTTATATACCAGTTTGTGTATGAACAGTCCTTTTGGGTATATATCAGCACTATCTTTTTTATCCTTCAGTAATTGACTGTGGGGTCTTGTCTTTTACAGCTCTTTCCTGGGTTGGGCAAAGGGTCTTCATAAGACCCTACTAAGAGCCTTGTATACTTAACACAGTGTGTTGAAGCTATTTCTTTGTGCGTAACTTTCCTCTTCTTCTTTGTGAGAATAGCATCATGGCTTCGTTCATTGTGTACTGACTGTAAACAGTGAAAGTTCACTGGTATTCGTTGAGTTAGGGAAACTGTAAAGCAGTCGGTACTTTTTGTTTTCTTTTTGTTTTTTGAGACAGGGTTTCTCTGTAGCTTTGGAGACTGTCCTGGAACTCCCTGTATAGACCAGGCTAGCATTGAACTCACGGAGATCAACCTGCCTTTGCCTCTGGAGTGCTGGGATTAAAGGCATGCCTACCACTGCTCACTTGCAGTCAGTACTTTTGAGTCAAACTGTCTTCTGTTTGTTTTTTTTTTCTGTCTCATGCAAATTGGCTTTTTAGAAAAGGTCTTCTTGAATACATTCTGATATAACTGACCTTCATGTATCTTGCTTCAAGGCCACAAAGGAAATTTAAGAAAGAAGGAAAAGACAAGGAAAAGATGTCAGATGAAAAACCAGATGAAATAGAAAAAATAAAGTCATATACCTACATGGAAAGCGAACCTGAAGATGATGTCTATTTAAAGCGTTTATACCCAAGACGGATTTATGAGGTGGAGAAGGCTATTCACTTACTTAAGAAGTTTCAGGTTTTGGACTTTACCAATCCAAAACAAGGCGTTTATCTTGATTTAACATTAGATATGGCATTGGGGAAAAAGGTATGTAGACTTATGTTTATTAGATACTTGAATTGATGTTTTTAAAATTTAAAATTCTGGGCAGGGGTAGGGGTAGAGGGCATGTGATTTAAAAATTGAAGTGGGGATATTGGGGGTGGAAAGGCTTACAAAAAGATGTGGATGGCGAAGGGGAATTGTTGGAGTAGGTGGAGAAGAACAACCAAAACTAAGGATGCAGAAAAAAGCCAGAAGGAAGCTAGCTACTGTGCATAAGCTAATTTATTAAGTACAATTTAAAAATTTCTTTTCAATAATAATTTTTATAATTTCTCATGGTCTTTCTATTTTAGCATGAAATATATTACTTACTAGATATAAAATATGTTGAAAGCATGCTAGGAAGTTGGACTTCTTTGGATTCCTTGCTTTGCCTTTTTATATTTCAGCATGCCTACTTTTATTAGAAAGGCATAAAATGTTTAGTTCATCTAGCTCCATTCAAGATTAAATATGGCAAGATACATAAGAGGTTAGTAGGTGCTTCATAATACATAGTAGGTGCTTCATAATATAGTTGGCATCACTGGAAATCACCTGCAGGCCAGCCACTTTATTTAGCAGTACTTTGCATTTACCCTCTTAAGATACAGATATGGACTATTTGGTTCAAGAGCATAGAAAAGAAAGAGTTAGGAATGGAGCCAAGGCTTTGCTCATTTCTTAGATGTTGTTTATTTGAAATAAATACCAACCATGTTATAATTTTTATTTTGTTAATTCTTGATTTGAAAAGTTTTTATATTAGTCATTAGTGTAGTTCATAACAATGTCTTGTAGGACCTCAGCCATCACGTTGAATATGGAATCCACTTAGATTAATGATGTTAATGGTGAGGTCTTTGTCTTAGTTTGCTCAGTTTTTGTTGCCCCAGTGCTGGGAACTGAGCCCAGTACCTTGAGCCTTGTAGGCAACCAGTGTACTGCTCATTGTTGTTAATGATTACCATCAAATATTTGTATAGCAAGTCAGTGTTCCCCAGGGGTGCTAGTATGATGGCTATTTACCATTGGAAACTACTGAAATCAGTTTGACATGTTAATAGAAAAGGAATGCCAATCAATAAAATAAGTTGAATGGTAGATATAAAGTGTACTTAAGAATTTATGCCTTCTGGTCTGAAAAATCCCCAGGAAGCTGTTGTTACCTGAAACAATTTTTTTCTAAAAATGTAGTCTTTTCATCAATTTTAACAGAGGAACAGTCCCTTTTTCTTCTGCCAAGCCTATGCAGGGCTAAGACCCTGTTTTCATATGAAATCTCCCTCAGAGGTCTGACCCTGGAATCTAGGTAGGCCCTTCACCAAAATGACCGAATGATTTATTCTGAGGTCTTAAGGGGTTTGTCCTTGTATGGGGTCTCACTGATGCCATTGAGAATTTCAGAGTTTTCAGTTTACTTTCCAATACATATCTGCAAGTGATGGGGATCTAGGTTACATTAAAGTAGACTGCTGACAAGATCATTTCAGTCTTGGCCTTCTAGTGTAGATCTAAGGTTTGTATCTATAACTGCCTAGAGCCATGGTGCTCACTAAGGGCGAACTACTGAGCAGATCAATTGAATACTGTCTTTGTGTAGGATGTCAAGCTATTTCATCATCTTCCTTTAATTCAGGGTACCAAATATCTGTTGACATTCAGGAAATGGAAACCAGGTGTGCATATGTGTGTGTATATATATATATATATATATATATATATATATATATATTCATGTATATATATATATATATATATCCAGAGAGATACAGATATGGATACATATCCCAACATTTGAGAAACTGATAAATGATTTGGGTAGAAACCACATACAGAGTGGGGTATGGTGCTAGGAAGAGAGATTTGTCTATGCCTGAACGCGCCCGATCTTGTCTGATCTCAGAAGCTAAGCAGAGTTGAGCCTGGTTAGTACGTGGATGGGAGATTGTTCTTATTTTAAAAAAAATATATATATAATGGTTTGAGCTTTAAATTATAACTAGAGAATAGTTTGGAATAGCAGGGGTTGAGTATGGTAATGCAGTCCTGTATTCCCAGCACTGGGAAGCTGAGGCAAGGGAATCTTGATCTGAGGCCTGAAGAACGGCCCTATCTGCCCTGCTAATGAGCCAACTAACCAAAACACCTCAAAAATTAAAATCATGACAGTTTTGTTTTTTAGAGATCCAGAAGATAATAGAAAAAATGAGCTTTTTGTCATTGTTTTTCCCCGTTGTATGTTTAGAAAAAAGTGGAGCCTTTTGCCAGTGTTATTAGTTTACCGTACCCTTTTGCTTCAGAAATCAACAAAGTTGCTGTATTTACAGGGGTAAGTAACTTTGTCAACAGTTCTATAAGTTAATTTTTAAGAAATGATTACTAGCCAATGAAGAGAGTAATGGAATATACTGAGAGAAAAGGTCTGTACTCCCATCAGTCCTTTGAAACTCAAAGCAGGGACTTGTTTGAGGCTGAGCCACTATCTGAGAAGGACATGCATATAGCGTTCCTGCCACCATTCCCAGCCTACTGCAGTCATGTTGTTCCACAGAACCCGAAGGGAGATGGTGGGCTGTGTTGTGGGTCTCCAGCTTCTTCTTGGAGCTGCTCAGCAACACCAGGGTTATTTTACACAACAGCGACAACTTAGTACTCTGCGTGTCTGAGAGCACAGCTTAAAACAAGTTCCTGGTCATACAGCCTGCAGGCAAGGCCGTGATAGGCCGAGTCCAGCTATGCCGGGTTTCTGTCTTGTTGACATTTGTTTATAATGTACTAACCTGCTTGCTTAGTTTTCTTTCATAACTGAGACTTTTTAAATTTTCTGTTTTGCTCTGGAGGAACTGTTTTTTCCAGTAAGTGGGGATTATAGTTGGAATATCACAGTGCTTTTGTGACTACCAGAGTGAAATACATTCCCAGAAAACAAAACAAACAACAAAGAGAGAGAGAGAGAGAGAGAGAGAAAGAGAGAGAAAGAGAGAGAGAGAGAGAGAGAGAGAGAGAGAGAGAGAGAGAGAGAGAGAGAGAGAGAGAGAGAGAGAGAGAGAGAGAGAGAAATGGGATAAATGGAGGAAAAAAATCACAAATACTGGTTTTCTTTGAAATTTTCTGACATGGCTAAGTTTTAGTTTTTGATTTATTGAATATTTCCTCCTCATACCTTTTGTTTTTGTTTTTTGTTTTTTGTTTTTTTTTTTTTGAGACAGGGTTTCTCTGTACTGTTTTGGAGGTTGTCCTGGAAACTCGCTCCGTAGACCAGGCTGTTCTCAAACTCACAGAGACCTGCCTGCCTTTGCCTCCTGAGTGCTGGGATTAAAGGTGTGTGCCACCACTCCGGGCACTTGCTAGGTTCTTTATATGACATTAAGATGTATTTCTTCTGTCAGATACTCCAATGACATACAAACTGAAGTTTTTTTCAGAATGTAATGTATCTAATGCAGTAATTGAAAATTGATGCATTTTCAATTAGAAATAGAAGCAATTTTGATTTTGAAGTGGTGTTTCTAACAGTTATTGACTGTGTTTAAAAATAATGTTCAAACTATTGTGCTTTGGTAGACTGCATCAGAGTGTAAAATAGCAGAAGAGAATGGAGCTGCGTTTGCAGGAGGAGCTGACCTGGTTAAGAAGGTATTGTGTTTTATGTTCACTGCTTGGAAAGATTGTTCTCATAGATCTGCTACCCATTTATTTGTTTTGTGTTTATGAAGTTTTTGTCTGCAGGCATGTCTGTGCTTCATGTACTTGTCTGGCATCCTTGGAGGCGAGAAGAAGGTGTGGGATTCCTCAGGACCAGAGATACATACAAATAGTTAAAAGCAGCCATGTGGTTGCTGGGAATTGAACCCAGATCTCCTAGAAGAGCAGCCAGTGCTCTTAACTGCTGAGCCATCTCTCCAGCCCATATCCATTAATTTATTACATTTGCACGTAACCATTAGGATTGTATCATCTTCAAAATAGTAGGCTTCATAAAAAGAAGAAATTTGTTTTGTTCTTTCTTCAGCTTCAAAACTAAGAAAAATCCACCAAAACTTTTAATCATTGATTACTTTGCTCATCCATTCATTTACTTATTCTTTACTATTGTCATGGTTTTGAATGTGAAATTTAAAACGAAATCCAAATATTAGTACACACAAATATCTCTTTCATGTTTTAAAAACCAAGGGTGTTTTTCTTTCTGGGAATGCAAGTATCATTGACTTGGTATTTAGTCTCCTCTGAATGCTTACTCCTCCCCAGTTAAAGTGGCAAGGCTGGCTTAGCATGAAAGCTGAGGAGTGAGGAAGTAGTCCGTCTTCAGGAAATAACAGCCTGGGGAGCCCTTTTGAAGAGAATAACATTTTTTTTAAAGGTAGAAAGAGGCATATAGTTATTTCTAAAATCACAAAATGTTTTCCTTAACATTTTCTAGGATTCTCTCTTCTAAATAAGCTAATTAAATTGCTTTATGGATGGGGTTGGGCAACAGGGAGACAGGAAAAACTGATTTGAAAATGTGTCCTGTATTAAATATCCAGATTTTTTTTTTCATTGACTTACTGGACTGATTCTTTAGGCTACACAGCATGCCAGGAGTGTTCTAAGCCTGATGGTGATTTCAATTTCTTTTGAAAGGGCATTGGAGATAGTTGATCCTGGAGTCAAATTTGAGTGACCAAGGCCCAGGAAACACAAGAGTTAGTTTTCCCCTGACTTTATGTTCCCACATGGAAGGGGTTTTGTAACCATCTAGGAGTCTTGATTGTGTTCTTTTTCTTTGCCAGTTAGAGATTTAAAGGCGGGAAAAATTTCAAGGGCAACATGTGGCAGAGAGATCTCTAACACAGCAAACAGGAACAGACACAATCAGCAGTTGAAGAAATGTGTTTGTCTGGGTGAGGAAACACACACACACACACACACACACACACACACACACACACACACACACACACACACACACACACACACACACACACACAGACATGGACACAGAAAGAAAGACTCTGGCAGCAGAGGTGGGGACTCAGGAAGCCGAAGCCCAGCTCCTGCTGGGGTGCTTTGTAGTCTTCCTCCCTTGTTCCAGGCTGTTGTGTACACACTTCCCGGTCTGGCTGGAACTTGTTGAGCCAGTCCAGCAGCAGGAGGAAAGGCTGAAGCTTTGTGAGATCTCAAGTGTCCAAAGTGAGCTCAGTGGAAAGTGGGAGTGGACCCTGCTGTAACACAGGTTCCTGGCCAAGTCCAAGGGTAGCGCCCTATTCTTCCTGGTGTATCATTTTAGTTATTTAAAAAGTACTAGAGGTTTTTTAATTGATAAAATGTAAATATACTTCAGGTGCTTGGGAGTTTGAGAGTATGGCTTGGACTGTAGAGCCAGTAAACTAACATTACCAAACCTTTTATCTGCTTCCTCCCTCCCTCCCCATGAGAGTGTCACAAGGTGTTGTAGCCACGCGTCAGTTCAGTTCCCAATTGGTTAGAAGCTACTGGCTTCTCAAGAAATGGAAGGAGAATGCGCTGCTGCACAGCCCTACTGTTCAGTAGAAGACATTGGAAATAGAAACACAAATAAGAAAATCTATTCGTCATTTTTGGTACATAAATATTATAGCTACATACTTTTCCTTCAGGTGCCCTAGTGGTAGATGCACTTTTAGAGAGACAGTTTTAACCAGGATGTTCTTCCCATCAAATGTTTGAAAGCTTCCCATGGTGTTTTTAGAAGGTATTCATTCAGGTTATGATGTAAATTCAAAACAGTTTTTTTCAAGTAATATCATGGTTGTAGATGTTCAAGTACATTTCTGTACATTTATTTACAGGTCTTTCAGCCTGCTAGCAAGTGTTCTAAGACCAAGTAATACTCCAGGACCCCATTCCTGTATTCCTAAGTTAGTTCACTGATTTTCTTCTCATTTAGCTGGAGAGATGGCTGAGCAGTTAAGAGCAGCAGCTGCTCTTGCAGAGGACCCAGGTTCAGTTCCCAGCACCCACCTGGTGGTTTACAACCTTCTGTAACTCCAGTTTCAGGGGATTTTATGCCTTCTTCTGGTCTCCATGGACACCAGGCATGCGTGTGGTACACAGACATACATGCATGCAAAGCATTCATATGCATAAAAACTGCGATAAAATCTTATTAAAAAAGAAACTGTAAAATAGGCTATAATTACTAAACTTTGAATCATTTCTAAGATCTTAATTTATCTATTAAATTCATTTCGTTTTGAAATGTCACACATATATTTGGCTCAGAGAGATTTGAAAGTAATGGTTTTTCTTGTTTGTAAAAGCATCGTTCTATCTACAGATTTGTTATTCTAAGATGTGTTCCTAAGGTTAATTGTAGCATAGCATTCACAGATAATTTTTAACTTAAAGGAATATGTTGTAGAAGTAGTTTGGGAAGCCTGTTAGTGATAGACTTGCATACAGTTCTTTAGCATCTCCAAGTTGCCTTTGTTTCTGTGTTCTTGGGGATGGAAACCCTGGCTCAGGAACCCTACTGCCTGTGTTTGAATGCTGGCACTTCTCTGAGGAGACTCAGCAGATTTCTTCTCACAGAGGCCCCAGGTCCTCATCTGAAATATTTAGTACCTGCTTGTAGGATCGCTGTGAACATTGGATGAATTAAATGTATAAAATATGCACAGAATTCATGACACATTAAGTTTTCACTTAATATGCCATTTTTAAGTGGAGCACAGAATGTTACTTTAAGGTTGAAGAATTTCTAAAATGAAACACTATTAACAGGAAAGTAAAAATACCAGAATATTGCCTAATTTTACCAGAGTTCAATTTTTCCAAAATCATTAACCCCAACCAAGACATGAGAAAATAAATGTTACTGGTGAAATATTTGTACCCTTGCAATATTTTGTTTAACTTTATTGTCAATTAAATTTTAAGTGGGGTATAGTATAATGGTGTAATAATTATTTTGGGTGCCTGCCTGAATTCATCAACTAATCCTTTAAAATCTGATTTTTTAATCCTTTTGTTCTCAGAATGGAAAATATGGTATGTCTGACAAGCTATAGGTGAACTTACCTTTGTCCTCTTGCCTTTTGTAGTTATTGGTAACAAGGAGAATTTTTAACTCAGTTCTTTGTGTAAATACTGATAGATTTAGTTCTTTTGGTGCACTAAATTTAGAAATGTAGTGATTGCTAATGAGTTTGGCAACTAGGAGTTGTTAATTCTGCATGTAATCTCTTGAAAAATGTTTACTTCTCTTCAGTTTTAATAGACATGAATTCTGCTGTGGGATATTTATGTGAGTTGGATACATAATCAATGTTATGTTTTAGTTTATAACTTCATTTTACCTAGCATAATCTCATGGTAGAATTAAAATCATTACTTTTGCTTAAAAATGCATGCAGCTATTTTAAAAATATAACAAAGTGTTTTGTTTCTGATGTTTTTCATAACTGGTGACTCTAGTTATATAATTCTGTTTTTGAAGAAAAGTATGAGTAATAGTTTTTTTTCAAATCATGCTGAAATTACTTATGTCCTGGTAAAGTTTTTTGTTTAATGAAGAGCTATTTCTGTTTTCCTCTGGTTTTCAGATCTTGGATGATGAGGTTGTTGTGGACTTCTATGTAGCTGTTCCGGAAATAATGACTGAGCTTAACCCATTAAGGAAAAAACTGAAAAAAAGATTTCCAAAGACTACTAGAAGTAAGGGGGAATTTTTGTTATTTCAAATTGTTTTCAGCAGTTTTCTTATAATTTTGTTTGTAAGAAAGCAAAGCTGCTAATATGTTTGGAGACCAAGTAGTATGCCTGGTATTTGAGATTGATGTATGCAGATTTTATTTTTTCTTCTTTTGTATTAGTATTGTTGTTACAGTATAACATGAGTACCTACTTATTGATAATACTGGTTTTTTTTTTTTAGAGGATAGCCTAGCTGTACATTAATGGAACAATATCTACTAAGAACATTGTCATCATACCATTTTGTTGACTTTTGTACTTCTTAATCAATATACTCATTTAAGCATTCAGCACGTACATAGATGCATAAATATGAATGCTTGATCCATATGTATTTCCTCATATTAGAATTCTTCCTTATAACTACTTCTTTCTTAAATATAGTAAGAGAACTAACATTGCTACATAAAATGCCATAAGTGTTATAAAATGAGAGATATGAATTGATGAAATTCAGTGGGGGTTATTTATATATATATATATTTATATATAGGTGGAGAACAAAACAAACAAACAAACATATCATGAATGAGGTGACCTTTGTTTATTTAGCTTCTTTATTGATTCTTTGGAAATTTCACATCTCACACCCCAATTCCGCTCACCTCCCAGTAACCCCACATCTTCCCCTCACCCTGCAGTGCTTCCCAACAAAAATTAAGAAAATCAGACCAAAACAAGCAAGCAAAAAACAAAACAAAACCAAAACAAACAAAAACCTCTTCTCTTTCTTTCCCGTCTCTCTAACAGAATGAGGTGACATTTAAGCTGTTTCCAGGATAACTGAATGATTTGGTTGAGAAGTCGTTATTTTAAGTAGAAAATATATTACCAACGGGCACTAAAGGAGACTAGAAAGTACAGGCTGGCTCCAGGAAGAGTCAGTTAGGTCTTCAGTTGTAGAGATGGTGCCTCTGCATTGATATATATGAAAGTGAACAATGGGGATAATGTCGGGAGTAGATCAATGCTGTTCTGATTAAGTCTTTGAATTAGGGGTTAATGAACATGGGCTTGTTTTCTTATCATTATGAATCCTTTAGATGTAAGGTGTGATGTGATATGATCTGTTTTCTAGAGGAGCATAAGACATGCTGGTTTGGATTAAACCTAGAGGGAGAGAGCCAGTTAGACTGCTGTTACAATAGTACGGGTACTATTTGAGCTCTGTGTCCTGAGAGCAGAGTGATGAGTTCAGTGTGAAAGACGGGATTTTGTGGCTCTATAGGAAGGGAGTAGTTGATGGGGAGCAGTGAAGAGTCAGCTGTGCTGAGGTCTTTACACAGGCATTTCCCCTGACAAGTGGTACCATTAATGACTCAGGGAACATTGGTGAACACACTCACAGAGCAGGTTTATTTGTTGTAGGTGGTACTGAATGTCTGGAATAGATAGGTTTGTTTTCTATAAGGTACTGTAGATAAAACACGTTTTTTAAAATTTGTTTTGGTAGTAGAGATAACTAAAAATGATTCAGATGGACTCAATTTCTCTTATTGTACTATGGTTTTGTCACTTTTATAACCTGCATTAAATCATACCTTATTAAATGTGGGCAGGGACTTGGCATTTTTCATAGAGATTTCCATTGCAGCTGTCCTTCTTGTATGGAATCAGACTCACATTGTTCCTAATTCAGGCCTGAAGTTAGTATTATTGGGGGGAAAAAGCAGATTGTGAGTGAAACATAAGAAAATTGTAAAAACAGTATCTATTTCTAATTGGGTTGTAGTCTCAGCCAGCATTACTCAGAGAGGTGCTGAGAGGTGAGAATCACGGCAGCGGTGCCCTCTGGGCTGCTGTGCCGCTCAGCTGCCTCTCGCACTAACGGCTGCCTGTGCCACTCTGTTCTTGGAGCCTCCTGGATTATTCCATATCCCTTTTTCTTCTCAGTGGCACTACTGCTGTCTCATTTACATCTAGAAGGGTTCCTTTCATTACCATTGCTGTTTTTTTTTTTCTTTTTTAATTCTAGAAGGTTTTCAAATAACTTCTTTATTCCAAATAGCAAGTTTCCTGTTGAAGTGTTTATTTTTATCAGTGGAATTTCCTTTATTTCTACTTTCATAATGAACCACACCTTCCACTGACAGTGTGTGTATGTGTGTGTGTGTGTGTGTGTGTGCACGCTCGCACGCGTGTTATGTCCTTAGTGTGTGTCCTCCCAACTGTGTGCTTAACAAGGCACCTGGAAGAATGACTGCATCCCCCTTTTCCTAACATTTTCTATTCACCCCTGCAGGATCTGCTCAATAGAATGAGCAAAACATTTGTGTTCTGTAAGCATGAAAACAAACTATTAGCCTGTCAGAATGTTCAAACAGAACACACCAGATGTGCGTGAGAAAAGATGGAGCTTGTGTTATGCATTTTTAGAGCTTGTTAGGATTCTTGTTTCAGAATATTTGATTCTCTTAGAACCAACAAAACACATTAAGCTAGAGTAGACGTTCCAAAGCTAAAGCTAGAACCAGCCTCTGCAGCTGAGTTCATTGGTTCCTGCATTGTCTCAGTTTACTTGCAGGAATGGGTATGACTAGCTCTGCTAGATCCAGTGTGCACCCTTCACAGCACATTTATTTTAATTTCTTATATAACGATAGGCAGTTTCACTTTTTAATATTCCCATTTGGCTTGTTTTCTCAGTATTTTTTGTTGTTTCATGAAATAGATTTAAAACATGTGAAAGAAATTTGCTTCACTTTGCTATTTATTGCCCCCTCACCCTGTAAGAGCTCTCTGAAGTGCTTTTATCATCAATATAGACATGTTTTCTTTAATGTGGGTGTGTGTGTTCATGTGTCTGTGCTTGTGTATATTCAGGTGTGTGTATGCACATGTATGCATGCATATGGAAGCCTGGGGTTGATGTTGGGTGTCTTCCTCAGTCACTCTCCACCGTATGTTGTCTTAGGGTTTCTATTGCTATGAAGAGACATCATGACTATGGCAACTTTTTTTTTTTTTTTTTTGGTATTTTGAGACAGGGTTTCTCTGTGGCTTTGGAGGCTGTCCTGGAACTAACTCTTGTATACCGGGCTGGTCTTGAACTCACAGAGATCTACCTGCCTCTGCCTCCTGAGTGCTGGAATTAAAGGCATGCACCACCATTACCCGCTGTCCATGGCAACTCTTATAAAGGAAAAACAATTAATTGGGGTGACTCACAATTCAGAGGTTTTTGCTTACACACAGGCAGGTATGGTGCTGGAGAAGGAGCTGAGAGTTCTTCCATCTTGACTCACAGGCAACAGGAAGTGGTCTGAGACACTGGGTGTGGTTTGAGCATATATGAGACCTCAAAACCTGCCTCCACAGTGACACACCTCTTTTAACAAGGCCATACCCACTCCAAGATAGCCACAGCTCCTAACAGTGCCACTACCTTTGAGGATCATTTTCTTTCAAACCACAGCATTCCACTCCCTGGCCCCCAAAGGCTTGTAGCCATATCATAATCCAAAAAATGCATTCAGTTCAACTCCAAAAGTCCCCATACTCTACCACAGTCTCAACAATGTTTCAAAGTCCAAAGTTCAAAGTCTCTTCTGATATTCATGAAGCTCTTAATTGTGGTCCCCTAGAAAATCAAAATTAAAAAAAAAAACAGATTCAACATATAATAGCACAGAATATACGTTACCATTCCAAAATGTAGAGAAAGAGCATAGAAAAACCAAAAACCAGTTGAGCAAGCTCCAAACTCTGCATCTCCATGTCTGATGTCAAAGTCTTCGGATCTGCAATTCCTTTCAGCTTTACTGACTACAACAAACTTCTTTCTCTTGGGTTGGTTCCACACCCTGTTCGCAGCTCTCCTTGGCAGGTATCTCATTGCTCTGGTATCTCCAAAATCTTAGGGTTTCCAAGGCAATCCAGGCTTCACCTTCACAGCTTCACACAATGACCTCTCTAGGCCTCCATTCAAGGATACCTCTGACACATGATCTGGTTTCAGCAACTTTACTTAATTGTGAAGGCAAATTCCATAACCCCTTTCTTCTATTCTTAACTCTAAAACCAGAACCAAGTGGCCGAACCTGCCAAATTCTGATGCTTACTGGGGTCCCCTCATTCGATTACTGGGGTCCCCTCATTCGATTACATCCATCACCAGCTTTTTGTTTTCCATGGTTTCCTTCACTGCCTAAGCTTGACTGTCTTGGAACTTGCTCAGTAGATTAGGTGGACCTCAAACTCAGAGATCTGCCAGCTTCTGCCTTTGGAATACTGGAATTAAAGGTGTGCACCACCATACTTGTTTCTAAGCTTTTCTCTAATTCCTTTTCACAAGTTGCAAATTTAGCTGGGTGGAATCTTGCTCTGAGGTCATCAGATAAATCTGTTTATCTCCTTGAATATAGGATTTAGCTCCATTCTACTTCCTGGTGTTCCTTTTCTCCTCAAATTTTACATTTTGTAATTTGCCTAGTTCAACTTGCTCCTTTTCCTTATAAATCTTCATTAGAGTTACCACTAATAACTATATAACCGAGTCTATACTAGGCTGTTTTGAGATTTCCTCTGCCAATGGAATCAATCCAAATCTCTTCACTTTAGCCTCAAGCATACTCTTCAGACAAGGGCAAAAGCATCCACTTCCGCAAAATATCACAAGAAAGATTGCTAGGCAGGTCCCTCTGAAACCTCTTGAGCCAGACCATCACAGTTCAAATCATTATCAACATCATTGTCTTCCATGTTCCTACTAATGCTTAAAGCATTCAACTGCTTTCTTAAACCAAAGTACCAACCCCCAAATTCTTCCAAACAAAATCCTGGGCCAGCCTATCACCGCAATGCCCCAACTTCTGTGTCAGTTATGGTTATTATTGCTGTGGAGAAAGTTATGGTTTTATTGCTGTGAAGAGACACCATGACCACAATCATTATAAAGGAAAACAATAATTGGGGTGGCTTACAGTTGCAGAGGTTTAGTCCATTATCATCATGAAGAGAAA